CGACAGCACCAGTTTTCCAACTGGTCTTCCTGGGGCCGTTCGTTAACCTCTAAACAGAATTTGTGGAAAGGCTCACAGCAGACCTGGCAATAGACAAACTGCAAGCAAACAAACAAGTCAGCCAAGCAGGCAGGCCTGTCGCGCTTCTCTCTCTCTCTCTCTCTCTCTCTCTCTCTCTCTCTCTCTCTCTCTCAGTAAGTACCAGAAACTTTGGTGAGTGCCAAAGACATTTTCCCCTTGGGAGCAATGTAGTAAATTACAAGGCAGAAAGTGCTGGGAAGTTCCAGCTGCTATGTTGAGTATCAAACAAATGACGAGTACCGAGATAAACATTTTGTGTCAAAATGCAGAAAACCAAATCCAAAGAATTTCAAAGCAATTGAGTATCAAGGTACCCGTCTTAATACGAAACTGGGTCCACAAACAAAATCGTCTGAAGATGCTTTTAGACCACATCCTAACTTGTCTGTGAGCAATTTCACTTCTACAGCAATCCCAGACTCCGCAACAAGGAGAAATGTTTTTCAGGGCTGAGGAGGAACTGGCAGAAGTTGGGACCAGTTTGTCTTTTCAGAGGCAACTAAAAAACTTTTAAAACAACACGATTCTGCAAGAACAACGGATTGTTTTGATGAAGGATTCAATTCCATCCATGTCTTTCAAATGTACTTAAACAATGCAACTGAAAAGAAACCCCCATACCCCATACCTGGCTCTTCTCTTACCTCCACGTTTCCGCTGCTGGCACACAGGAAGCAGACCACTCTGGGAGTTATGGGAATGGAGGTCAGGATGCCCAGACCCCCCATTTCCCAAACGCTTTCAGCCACACAGTCCTCCTGAAAAGCAGAGAAGCAAGGCTGGCGTGAGCTGGCTCTGCCAGTCCCTCAAGGCTGCTTGCTGGGCAGGGCCACGTGGTGAGAAGGGAGGGAACCGTCCCTCCTCCAGGGCCCAACTCAACGCTGCCTTGTTACCTTGAAGTCCACTCGGATCCTGTGGACCCCGTCGGTCAGGGGCTTCTGCTTGGAAGGGGTGTTGTTGGACGAAGGGCTCAGGGTGTTGAGGGCGCTGCTCTCTGGCTTGCTGACTGGGAGGGGCTTCTCCTAGGAAGATGGGAGGCACGATATTTCTTTCCTTCCTCCCCAAACTGGCCTCAGAATGTATTCATTGAAGGCCCAGGGACCTTGCCTAGCAGGCTGCGATACGTGGTCAGTCTCAAGAGACACCGCAAAACTGAATTACCACGACCACCAGACAAGGAACAATAATGGAGAAATATTACACTTGTATTAGGTACCCGGCTTTTCTTAAAAGGCCAGAAATGCTAGTATTTGGATAAGTGTCCACGCGCACTTTTTGGGAGCCCAGACTTGGCTTTGGATGGTGTGCGCGGGGTTTGCATCCTTTGAAAGGGGGGCGAGGTGAGGATGAGGCTTTAAGTAGGAGGACACAATCACAGAACATTTTTTCTTTCTTGAAGCAAGATGAAGCGTTAGGTTACCTTCTCTTTTGGTTTCTGTTTCACCGGTAAGCTGGGACGCGGAATGATTTTCTTCTGTCTGCTTTGCTCAACGGCTAGAAAAAGTACAAACATACTTTGCAATAAGCTAAGATTTGTCTCTCGAAGCGACGAGGCGTTTGGGATCTTGGTAGGGCAGAAAAGACAGTATCCACTTTTTGCTTCTAGAAACAAAACCCAACTCTTCCAGAATAATCAAGTTATACCCCAGGCCTCTCCCCAAGGAGACCAATTTCCTCTGCTTTAAGTACGGGCCTAGGTTAAACCGAAGGACAGAAGCAAGAGGAACGCGGGCGTTGCTAAAGGAGCGGGATGTGCGTACAGCAAACAGGTACACAGGAGGAGAAGAAGAACAAACGATTACAAAAGAGAAAGGCAAGTCCAATTTGCCTGCTGCTTCCTCCTGCGGCCATTGATGTGTGCCCAAGAATTTGCATGCAGATGTTGAGTCGGGGCGTTTCCCCCCCACCCGCTGTGGGAGGCAGTCTTACACCAGGGAGCAAGGCCCGACCGGGCTCTCCGGGGAGCAGGGATGTCGGGAACGTCAACACGTACCTGTTTCCAGAGATGGTGCTGTTTTTTTCTTGGGCTCAGCCAGGAGGGTTTTGGGGGCTTCCTTCTTGGGTGGGCCTGAGCTGGGCGGCTGGGCAGGAGGCAAGGCAGGAGGGGCTTGCTTGCCAGCTTTCCGGGTGGCAGAAGGAAGAGGCTGCTTGGGGTCTGGGGCAGGTGGTGGCGGCAGCTGCCCTTCCTCCATCTTCCCTTCACTGGCCTTCCGGGCTTGTTCGCTGCTTTTCTTGGAGGCCGGATCCTCTTTCCCCAAAGCCGGAGGAGGAGGAGGAGGAGGAGGAGGAGCCGCTGCTGCTGCTGCTGCTGCTGCTTTTGGCTCCCCCTGAACCTTCCCCAGCTGGCCGTCTTTCTTTTCACCGGACTTGGATTTCCTCTCCTTTTTTTTCACGGCTGCAAAGCAGAAAAGCACCTGGATGGGGCTGCCAGCCACACAGGGCGCTGCTCCCCTGAAAGCCCCCCGTGCCCCGCCCCTTCCTGCCCCCCCCCTCTGCACAGGGCCCCCCACCTTTGGCTTGCTTCTGGAGATAAGCTTTCGATGGCATCCACTGCAGGTTCTGACACTTCCTCATCCTTCAGGAAGAGAAGAGGGAGGGGCGGTAAGAGCCATTACTAAGCGCTCCACGGGGGGATTCTGCCAGCAGGGTCCCCGGGTCCCCTCTGAGCCGGGTGGTTTTCTTGCACCCAAACTAGGTCACATCATCACTAACACTGACGATGTTACCTAGTTGGGTCATGAAATGTCTGCAAGAAAACAAATCCGCGCAGACAGGACCAAGAGTCCTCATTTCAACCCTGAGCTACAAACACTCCCATTTATTGGTCTTCTGTCAGCCCAGGTCACTCCTGACTCACAGGGGGGAGCGGAAGGGATCCTGTGAAAAGAAATGCCCTGGGCTGCCCCTCCCCCCCCAGCTCCCAGGTAAATCTGGTTGCTTGAAGTGATTGGCTCCAGCAGGAGACGCTTGGCAATGCCAGCCGCTCAGCAGCTGCAGGGAGAAGGACCCGCTTGGGAGTCTGTTCAAGGGAGAGAAGAGGGAGCCTTTCCTTTCCCGGCCTCAGACCAGCCAGGCAGCCCAAGGAGGAGGACCGGAAGGACGGAGGGAGGGTTCGCACAGGGAGGCTGCTTCCCCATTGCGCTCAAAAGGGACAAAAGCCAACAGGGCAACAGGAGGCGCCTGCATCAGGTGTGGCCAAGGTCTTTTACTGAGCTCCCCTTTGCTCCCCTTCCACACGCCGGCTTCTTTCTCGCTCTGAGACACAAGAACCCTCCGGCCGTTCGGATGGGAAAGGCGCGGGAAGGCCTGGCACCCTTGGCACCTCCCCAGAGAGCGTGAGGTCAGGGTTTGAGGGTCCCCTGCTGGCCCCTGGGAGGAGGCCCCGCAGCCATGCACTTACTTGCAACACTGCTTTTTTATGTTCCGCCCACCAAACTTGGGCTTATCCAGGCAGTTTGTGCAGACGCCACAATCTTCTGGGACTTGGCAGCCTGGACACTGCCCACAGCGCCTCGACCGCCGGCCTTTCTTCACGGGGGGCTCCTGGGGGGCCTTGCTTCTGGTTACGGGCTTGATGGGCTTGACAGGCGGTGCAAGGGGCTCAGCCTCTTCTGACCCAGCAACAGAGGATTTGTCTGTCAAAAGGACCACCGGCTATTAATTCAGCATCATCCGTGGAGGGGAAAGTGGCGGTTGGGCTGCTTGCCCTTTTTCTAAAGGAGATTTTTCCTTTTTGCAAAAGGACTCTTCCATTTAGCAGCACCCCTTATGTTAATTTCTAACGCCCCTCGAGATGAGGAAAGGGATGAAAACACTTACCATCGTTCCCCATGGAAGACAGTATCTTCTCCCGTTCTTCCCACGGTAAGGCACTCAGAGTGGGCATGTCATCTGGGAAGACGGCTCGCTTGCGGCCCAGGGCTACGGCTGCTCTCCTGCAGACATGCTTGATGCGTGGACCTCGCACAGAGGTTTCTGAGGAGTCGCTCTCTTGACCCTAGAGAAACAGGTGGAACAGGGTGAGACAACCATCCTGCCATGAGTAGCAGAATCCCAGGGGAGAGGCACGGCTGGCTGCTTATGTTTCCGAGTGAGTTCCCTTCCACGAGGCAGAGAGGCTTTGCCTGAAGCCAGCCACTCGCAACTGTGCAGGTATAAACACAAAATGCATCAAGGATCTCGGTGTGTACGAGCCTAGGATCAGCATCTACTAGGAATAACACATAGCAACATCTACATATTGCAAGACATTTAGTAGCTGTGTTGTATATAACTACCCACGGCAGCTGGGATGGGCAGGAAGAAAAAAGAAAGTATGGGTTGTTTTATTTTTAATATAAAAAAAGCCCCCCTTGCAGTAATTCAGAGCTCATCTCTTTCCCCAAGGTGGAAGGTCTAGGCTAGGGCTATAAAATGTTTTCAATTAAATTCCCAAACGATGTTCTGGAGTGCCATGGGATTCACAAGATTCCTGGAAGACGGAAAATGGGAAAAAATCCCTCAGAGGGAGAGGTAATTTAAAAAAACATTAGACCGTGCAGAAATGAACAGATGAACATTGGCAATTAATGAGAAGGAAGAATTAGAGTATTATAAGATCTAGGGATATTTTTATCGCTGGATAGAAAACGAATGTAGACAAAAGGAAACAGAAAATTGAATAATTTGGAACAGAACGTAGAATTATATGGGAGGAGTTGAGTTCCAAGGCAATTGAAATGTAAATGAAAGGTAAGATAGAAATAGATTTAAAGTGATGTAAAATACGTTAAATATGATGACACAAAGATCGTGCCCAGGGGACAGACTGTAAGGCCATGGTTATGGAAAAATAAAAGCATTAAAGAGAGAAAAGACTCCTGGAAGCCCAAGTGCTGCCCGTTCTGGTGCAGGCTGAAATTCCTTGTGGAGCAGCCCTAACCAGGAAGGGAAGAGGCGGGGGGGCTCCGAGCGAGCAGCCCACACAGCCTGCCAGTGTCTGTGAGCAGTGGCCGCATAACAGGAAACGCTTCCCCGGCTTCTCTGAGCCTGCATAGCGAGGCCCCTTTGCCCCTTTTCCCGGGGAACCCTGGCCAGACTCCGGCTTCCTGTGCCGCCTCCCTTCTGGTCCCAGTTTCTTTGGAAGAAGATACCTGTCCTTTGGGCTGATCCGCCTGCTTCAGGGACTTGCTCTTCTCAATCTTATAGAGCTGAGCTTTGGCTTTCTTCAGGAGGCTGGCGACCCTCTTGTCCGCCATTGGAAGTTTATCGGCATGAGCCAGGACTGAGCTGATGGAGGAATGTTTCACGATGCCAAGTGAGGCGGCAGGAAGACGCAGAGACTCCTCCTTTTCTGCAGAAGAGGCCACCAGGCCAAGGTCCAGAGTGGATTTCTCCAAGCCCCCCGCCCGGCTTCTCTTGGGCAACTTGGTCTTTATGCTAGCTGAGTCCACCAGGACCACTGCAGGGGCATCTGCCGCTGGATCAGGGCCGGCCAGTTTCCTCCGTCCCGCGGGTTTTTTGGCAAAGGACGAGGTTGCCACATCTTCACTGACGATGACCTTCCCTTTAGAACCGCGAGTGGATGGGAATAGAGCAGAGCCGCCCTGGATTTCTGAAGCCGCCGCCTTCTTCTTCTTCTCTTTCCTCGATTCGCGCTTGTTTTCCTTCTCCCTGTCTCGGTCTCTTTCTCGGCTCTTCTCCTTCTCGGGGCTGTTGTCCCTTTCTCTGTCTTTGGGCAGCTCCTCGGCAGCTTTGTCCTTGCCTCTGGTCCTCTCCGCCTGGGGCTCCGGTGCAAACCAAGGGAAAAGGGGAGCAGTGCCGCCTGATGGGAATGGCTCGGCAGGGAGGCTTGTCTGCTTCCTCGGTCTCTGGCTTTTCTCTGTTGCTTCCCCGGTCTGGGACAGGGATTGCGAAGGGAAAGTGAAGGCGGTGGCGTTTAAGGCACTGCTGGCAAGGGAGCCGACAGAAATGCTCGTTAGGGAAGAAGAGGCGGAGGAGGACGGAGGGAGTGTGGACAGCTCGGAGGCGCTGAGTCTCCCGCTTCTTGTCCTCATAGAGTGCGAAGGAGACCTCGACTCAGACCGAATCGGACTGAAGACGCGCCTCTTTCGTTTCCTTGAAGAAGCTGCTGCTGCTGCTGCTGTAGTGCTTCCCGTAGTGCTTCGACTAATTGAAGAAGGCAACGTCACAGACTCAAAGATGCGCGAGTGCGCCTCACTGGGGGTGAACCTTGGCGCTCGCAACAGGGGGCTCCTCTTGTGCAGATCAAACCTTGTTCCAGAGAGAAGAGGAGAAAACAAGCGGGCCGGAGCCGTGGCCCCAGGAGGGGTGAAGCCGGCGGCGGCAGCAGCAGCAGCGGCAGCAGCAAAGCCCACGTCCTCTGGGGTCAGGGGCGGCGGCCGGAAATTATCAAAAATCGGCTTGCGGATAAGACCTTCTTTGGCGTACTTGGCGGAGGAGAAGTACTGGGGTTCGGAGCGGGAGGGCTTCAGGGAAGTCCAACGGAAGGTCGGTTCTCGGAGGATTGACTTCCGCTTCTCTTGCGCAGGAGCAGCCGCAGAAGACGGCAAGAAGGGCGATGCCAAGGGAATGGTGGGAGGCATGAGCCACGGCGCATGGTCGGAGATGCCGGCTGCTGGCTGCAGTGGGGGAGGTGGGGTGAGCAGTGGGGGAGGAGGCGAAGAAGAAGAAGAGGAGGACGGCTGCTGCTGAGAGACACTTTGGAGGCCGGGCAGCTTCTTAGCTGCTTTGGGGGCAAAATTCTTCTCTGCCATTGAAAACCTCCTCCTCCTCCTCTGCTCAGCCCCCTCGTTGTCAAGGGAGGTGGACTCTGGCAGGGACGGGGGGACTTCTGGGGCATTGTTGCATTCTTCCGAGAGAGCTTGCATCTCTTCGGAAGCCTGTGAATCTGTGGAGGTATCAACACTGGGACTGCTGGACCGCGAGGAGTCAGAGGATAGCTGGGAGGAGTGCTGAGACGCGACACTGGACTTCTCGCTCGATTCGCAAGAGGTAGCACTGAAGCGGCTGTTTGGGGTAGACTCCAAGCGTGCAATTTTAATTGGCGGGTCGTAGTCTTCATCTTCAATGAAACGCTTGGGAGTCTTAATTATTCGCGAAGAGATGGCGCTCACCACAGGCATGATGAACTGCCGGATGTTTTTGAGCTGAGTCCTCCCCTTCCGGCCCTGGAGCTTCGCTGCTTCTTTCTCCATTTTCTTCTGAGCTCCTTTTTTTGCCTTCTGCAAGAGCTGCTTGGCGATGGTGGCATCTGTCCTCTTGCAAGAAGGAATCATCCTTACTGGCCTGCGAGGGCTCTGCCTCACCACCGTTGGCTTTTCGTCTTTGGGGAGGAAGGGGACTCCCCCCTCTCTTTCCTTCCGTGCCCTCTGGACTTTCTCCAACTGGGAACATACGAGAGCCGGCATGGCCTTCAAGCGATCGGAAGACGGTGGCCTCCCTCTTCTGCGGACAATCTGAATCCCTTTCCTCCCAATCTGGAGCTTCCCGGATTTGAACTGGGACTTCAGCGGACAGAGTTTGCCTGTTCTTAATTTCTTAATTTTTGCAGCATGCTGAAAGGTAGCCGATGGTGCCCGCTTTGTTTTCTTTACATTCTCTTTTTCCTCCTTCCCTCCTTTCTGAGCATCTGGAACGCACTCTTTATGGCTGATCTTGAATTTCACACTGGTTAGAGCAGGAGGCCTCCCTCGCCGTTTTTCTCCACTTTTAAATTCTTTCCTTTTTATGTTTTCCATGGACGTAGGTTCCGGGTTGCTTGAAGGCGAATATATTGGCAAGGACTCTGGTGGAGCAGCTGGACTTCGGTCTGAACCGTTCCGAGGTCTCCCACGAGGTTTACGTGCACTAGCTTTGACTGAGACTGCAGGAAAAGAACAGAAATGTGTACGTTAAGCAGGGAAATCCTTCTTTTCAGGCATGACATAAAATGAAAAAAGGAATGAGACAAGAAAAGAAGGAAAGGGAAGGGGGGGGACAGAGGGAGGGAGGGAGGGAGATATTCAACATTTCATAGTTTTAACAATAAGTCAATGTCTGATTTCTACATAAATAGGTTTAGTACGCATATTTAGATGAATAAGATTATAATGCTAGGAGAATTAAGTTAATCAGTTTACCAGATGATAAACTGAGTCACAAATCAACAATGGTTGGACTTGGAGCAGGAGAAGTCATCCTGGATTATCAAAAGCCTTAGGAGCTCAGCAGCAAGGGAAACTGGATTTAATAATCCCCTGCTACTTTCACTAGCCAACGGTCAAGACAGAAACGACACACATCTGAATTTAAATTTCATTTCTTTTTCATCAGGACATTCAAAGCAGCCTTTAATAATAAATGGCATTTCTATTGGTGGGCATTTTCATAGATGACTTGAAATATGCATAATGGGCTAGGGCAGAATTGTGTATGGTGGGAATGCTTAAAAGAATCAATTAACTTCCAAAGGATTACATTTAGTCTTAAAGACTAAGTCATATCATTCGGGCACTTGTGTCACAGGAACATTATGCCCATTATAAACCCAGTTAATGAATCTTAGCCTAATCTTCAGGGGGAAAAGCTGGAGAAATGTTTCCCTGGGATTCCCAGACCTGGCAGCAAAAATCTTTTGTTTTTAAAGGGCAACTGCAGCAGCCAAGATACCCCGTACTCTCTCTACGATGTAACAGAGTCTTCTCAATACACTCCTGGTGTGAAATGGAGGGGAGAATGTGTGTTCCCCAAATAGCGAGTTTTGACTCCATTAATGTGGAAATGTAAGAATCTGATTAACGATTTAAGCGTATTGTGCAACTAAGGTATGATTTACAGGATACCGTATTGTGTGGCCTTGTTGAATTCACTTGCATGCTGGGGAGGGTTGTTTTGATCTGGGCAGTACGGAGGATTTCGCTTGTATTTTCATATATCACTGGGCTTATTGTATGCTGCCAAGTGTTTTCTTGGAGTTGGATGGCCTTCATAAAACTAAGGAAAGCAACAGCCGCTGTGGCTCCGTTTAGCAACCCCTTATTCGAAAAAACTATGGCCTAGAATATTACATCAAGCCAGCAAATACAAATTTCAGATTTTGGCGCTCAACATACACTATTTAGATCAGCCACATCTAAACTCCATTAAAGCAAATCCCACTGAATATGGTTCCGATTTCAGTAGGTTGGATTTACCTGCAAGGGACTTGGGGGAATGGGCTCCTTTGGCCTCATCATCAGAGCCAAAACCTAGAAATTGCTCATCCTGCAGAAAGAGGGAGAGAGAGGGTTTAAGTAAAAAAGTATCGTGAAAACAAAATACAGTTGAGAAATATTAACAACGCTGACAATTGCCTGTTCTGAAAAAGTGGGGGTTGAAAATCGCTAAGAACCTATTTCATGGGGTATCTGCTGGAAGAGAAGCCCCCCAGGGGAAACGCATCTCATAAAGCCCCAAAGGCAGCCTGGGCCTGCCTCTGGCCAGGGAGTCCGCCTGAAGAAAATCAAGAATCTGACCATTACCAGAAAAGAAGGTCAGGAAGGGAAGCCCCCTCTTTAAAGAGAAGCAGCCTGGCTTAGGACAGAAGCAACCACCGATGCGGGGCAGGCAAGCGCCTGGCAAGTAGTTCAGCTCAGCTGGGAGCTGCGAGGTCAGCAGCTATGCGCTCCCTTGTTCCTGCTGCTCCTGTCATGGGAGCCCAGGCCAAGCCATGTTTCCCAGCTTTCTAGAGCCGGCCCAGGGCCTCCCTGGAGCAGAGGCACAGCGGCTGCCTCTGGGCAAGAGCTTCTGGCAAGACACTGCCAGCCCCCCTCCGCCCTCGGTTCTGCTCCTGCTGTGCCAGAACCTCTGGGCTTTGCTTCCTAACCTTCCCCCAAAGCCTCTTGTCATCTCTCAAGGGACAGCCGTCCTGCCGCCCTGGCTCATGCGCTTCCAGGAGCCCCCCCGCACCTACACAGAGAAACTGGCCGTCCTGAGAGGCGGCAGCTGAGGGGGAGAGGTGGGAGAACCTTTCCTTTCATACTTTCCTGGGACACTGCAGAGGAATCGAAGAGATTGACTGGGGGCATTAAACTGCAAGGTCACCCGCTTAGGGCGCTTATCCTTGTGGATGAGGGAGAGCAGAAAGGAAGCCCCCCGGGGTGGGGGGTGGGGGGGGGCTGGCCGGCCTCATGCTCCCAGCTCAGCTCCTCCGTCTCTGGAATGCCGGAAAAGCCAGTTTTGCACGCAGCCCTCCAGAGCACAGCTCTGCCGGCCCCTCCCCTTGCCCACGTGGGTCTCCCTGCAAGAAGTAAACAATCCTTGGCTGAGGATGGGCAGAGATTCTGGCTAGCTGGCAGAAGGGGCAGCGCCTCCTTCGCATCTCTAACTAGCAGGCGGCTGACGGGTTCTAAGCAGGCAAGGAAGCAGAGCGGATGAGTCAGGCCACCAAAGCTTCATCTCTTTCCAGGGAGCCAAACTTTATCGGTCTAAGAATTTCTCAAACGGGGGCTTCTGGAGATCAACGGCTGCAAATCCTCCAGCACTTCAACAACCCTTTCAGTCAGGACCCTGCGCTCCTTTTGCGGGGCACAGCTGGAGGAAAGCTGGAGGGAGGTGCAGAGCACAGGCCACAGAGGTTCCAGCAGCCTCAGCCGTTCAGCCCCAGGATTTGGGTCTCCAAGCTCCCATGCGGAATCCCCACTTTCCCTCCCAGCCTGGCAGTCAACAAGCCAAGAGCATGTTTCCCCTCGGGATTTACTGCATCATGATGTCATCCCCACGGACGTCGGCAGATACCCAGGAGCTCAGCAACTCTGCTCCTTCCAGCCCTGGCCTGCCCTGGCCCACTCCTTCTTCTCCAGGCTTTCCCACTGGCACTGCCGCCCTGGGGATTTTGCCCTGGGAGCAACCCCAAGAGGTTTGGAAGCCAAGACCAGCTAAGGACCCCAAGGGCTTCGGAAAGCCCCCAAACCAGGTGTGGCTTTATGAAAAAAGGGCTTGTTGATTACGCTCCTTGCCACTATTTTAAAAGTATTAAAAAGAATAAGTACACATATTAAAAAAAATGAAAAACAGGGATTGTGCCACAATTCATAGTATTTTTAAAATGTCCATTGAAATTGGTTCTCTCTCTCTCTCTCTCACACACACACACAGACACACACACACACCAGGCAAAAGAAAAGTGGGTACAGTGAGATGGAAAAAAATAATATCAAAAACAGAAAAACCCTCCACTCACATTTGCCCACCCAGATTAGATCTAGCTGAACATGCTAGAAAAACTCAAAGCTCCCTCACGCATCCAGTACTCAAAAGGATACCACCAGGCTGCACAAATCAATTCTACAGGTAGTCCTCGATTTACAACAGTTCATTTCGTGATCATTCAAAGTTACAACGGCACTGAAAAATGTGACATGACCCGTTTTTCAAAGTTACGACCTTTGCTGCATCCCGATGATCATATGATTAGAATTCAAATGGGGAAGCCACATCCACTTAACAACGAGGTTATTAACTTATCAACTGCAGTGATTCACTTAACAACGGTGGCAAGAAAGATCGTAAAATGGGGCAAAATTAACTCATTAAATGTCTCATTT